ATTTCTGATACGTCATAAATGTTATTATGCCTTTCAAACTCAAAATAACCGGTAGTTGAAATTTCAAACGCTAGGTGGCCCATCCTGTACTTTAAATTGTAATGTATCTTTACTTAAACGTAATTGAGCAATTTTTTTTATATTTTAAAAATTATTGTAATATTCGAGAAATAAAATTATATAACTTAAAATTATCTAAGGTCGTACAAATTTATTATAATCTTTTATAATATAGTAAAAGGAAATTTCTAGGTTCACTAAATTCGTGAATACGAATTAGAGTTAAAATTGTGTCTATTTTAATAGGATCAAATTTGTAGATATTGGCAAGAAATAAATCACAATAAATTATTGATAAATTTAAGTCAGTAATTCTGAAAAATATAAAAAAATTGTGTCTCTTACATTTATAAAAAATTCTATTTTTAATATTTAATATTTGTTAATTAAAAAATTAAAAAATAAAAAAGGATTTTTATTTTTCAGTGAAATAAAATTTCGGAACTATAAGTGACAAGACGTATTCAATTAATAGCATAAATCAAATTTAAATAATTTAGAAAATTAATCGGCTACGAGAGAGAGAGAGAGAGAGAGAGAGAGAGAGAGAGAGAGAGAGACGAATATAAAAATAAAATTCAAAACCGAAATAAAAACATTGTGATGATCAACTACACACAACTTGATTAGAAGGACATATTCAAATAAAACAAATTCGATTAACATTTAATCATAACGTTATATCATAAAGATACAAAAATAAATATTAGACTTAATATTTCTTGCGACAAGAAGAGCTATTCAATATATTTCTGTCAAAAAATACTGTCAGTATTATTATTAATTTAAAGAATTAATAGTGACATGGCATCTAAGGTAACAGATATATACATAATAAAATCCATTATAGATATTAGTAAAAATATAAATCATACTAACAACCATATTGTGCATCTTTTAGGAGTCCAACAAAGAAATGAACGTTTTGTCTGGGAAAGAAGAAATACTTCATAATATAAATATTGGAAATATGATTTTGAGCGCATTTAAATCTAGGCCGGATTTTGTCGGTCAGGTAACAAAAAAGTTTATTCTTATATTGTCACATATCATTACGTCAAGCATTTTTATAAATAGTAAAAAGCATTTTTATAAATAGTAATATCTTTTACTGTCAAGACATAATATCAATATTTTTAATATTATGCAATTAATACGTCTTGTAGATAAATGCAGTGACGGAAGAGCAAATTACATACCAGCAGATGCGAGAGAACAGCGTTAAATGTGCATTGTGGTTAAAACAATCATGCTATAAAAATATCGTAATAACAATATGCACACGTTATAAAATGCTCGAATATATACCATTTTTAGCGAGTTTATATATCGGTGCTACTATCAATACGTGGGATGAAAAGAACATGAACGGTACATTAATTTTTTCCTAAAATTCAGCATAACTTATTTTAACGTTCATATCTGTATATTTTTTTTACTGAATAATAAATCATTTTAGATAGGATACGTATTACGTATTTTCTGATAGAATATGAACCAAATATTATTTTCATCGATAGTGACAATTACAGCCAACTCAAATCAGCTATGGAATACATGAATTATAACAGAAAAAACATGAATCCTCCAAAAATCATAACTTTTGATAAAATTGAAGGTGTAGATTCTCTCGAATCAATTTTGAACAACGATTTTGAAAAAACTAAAATCGATGAATTTTCCTGCGCGAAGATGGAACCACTGGATATTGTAGCGATAATGTTTTCTCCCAGTACAACAAGTTATTCTGATAGTAAAGTATATATTCGTTATTTTGCATTTACATATCCATCGAATCAGGAAGTACCCGTAATATCTTCCGGTAACATTGGTCTATGGTATGCATCTTTAAATTGGAGTTATGGTGTGATCTTGACCGTTCGTTGTATAATTTCATATGTGACAGTGATCAAGTGTTCGAAATTCAGTGATAAAAATATGTACGAAACGATAGAAAAGTACAAGGTAACATAAAAATCAATCTTGCTTCGAAAATGAATAAAATATATGATATTTACACAACAAATGTTACAGGTATCGTGGGTATTTTTTGAAAGCAAGATGCGCAACCAAATGTTTTATACCGATATCCATATGTATGATATCTCTTCTTTGAAGCAATTAGTAATCGATGATTCAGCCATCAATTTCAGTGATGCTCAAGAAAAACTTAGCGAAAAATTTATAAATGTTTCTATCATTCAAGTATATAGTATGTACAATTGTAACCAATTATTAATGATAGAAATGCATTATCTAAAATTAATAATCATTACATTTTTAAGGTATAGCAGAATTATGCATAATTGTGGCTTATCAACGAAATAATCAACGGTTCGGATCGATCGGTTATGTGGCTAAAAATGTTCAATTAATGGTTCTTGATATGGAATCGAAAAAAGCAATTGGTTCAAACAAAGCAGGCACGATCTGGTACAAATTCATATGCAAATGTTGCTCTCCTCAGACGTGCGAATTGCAAAATTGTTACAACTATAAAGCGAAAGAAAATACAATTGGCAAGGATGAATATAATGTATATTGTCAGTATAACTTTTCTAATATACTGGTTTACAAATGTTACAAATTTTAAAAAAACATAATCATATCACATGATTTCAGTTAACAAATGGTGCTGTACCGGAGATTACGGCTATTATGAAAAGGATGGCGAAATCTATCTCATCGATAAAGTAAAGGATCTTATTAAATATAGAATATTCTATCTCTCACCTACAAGAATTGAGAATACATTACTACAACATCCAGCAGTGTCAGAAGTCGTTGTACGATCTATACCACATACTACTAATGGCCAACATCCTATAGCTTATGTTAAAAAAGAATGCGGAGCAGAGGTTGAAATCTGACTGATTTTTTTTGTAAAATCGAATGAATTTTTATCGGATCCTTTTTATCGGAAGTTCAATTTATTGTGTTTTAGGTGACGAAAGAGGAATTGATAACATTTGTAGCAAACAATTTGCCTGAGATCTACCAACTGCGCGGAGGCTTGCACTTCAAGAGACACATACCACATCTTCCCAATGGAAAAATCGATCGAATGCTAGTTACCGGCATATAGTAACTGGCTATCGAATTAAACGTTACAGTATATTTATTACCTTTTAATTAAAAAACATTTTAGTGAATGATTTTATAAACAAAGTATTTAAAAATCAACAAATATCGTTTTAATAAATAGACTGTAAATAATCAAATAATTTAACTTTCCTCATTAAAAGATTATTTAACAAAATTAACATTTATTATTATTGTATAAATATTTTTCAATTTATTCCT